CTTTCTAAATTTTTAAATGAAATGTTTAATATTCTGTAAGGCTAAAATTCGAAAGATCGAGGAATTCAGCTTTCCGGATTTCGAATCTTTTTCAAGACTCGAAGATTCAAATGCTCTGTCCTTAGGAGTAATGAACGTGGTTTCATTTTCATAAAATACGCGCAACAGTGTTTTATTTTTAATGTTTTTTAACAATGTTTTTTAATGTTTTTTCATTTACTAAAGATGGTTTGGATTTCGGAAACATTATTAGTTTTATGGGGATTCCTTTAGTAGACAAAATTTGAATACCACTGCAAGAGCCAAAATTGAAGCCAGGTAACGGGATTTCAGATTTTAAGTTCGAGAAATTAATCTTCTTGTTTGTTTTGCTGATAAATGTGAGTATTATGTTCATTTGTGAATGTGGAAACCCCATCAGCGTAAATAAAGAATTTATTATGAAGTCAAATGAATAGCAAACTAAGAACTATCCCAAATAAAATACAACCAGACCGAATATTTTAATAAAACAGCACTTTTGTTAATGCGTATGTAACACAGATTTACATGTAGCCATACTGAATTGTGGCACATGTGAGTGAACTTACTGTACAGGAAAAATTACTGAAAATGTTTTTTCTCCTCTTGCAGGCGTAGATCAGTTTCTTTTGCCCTAGCCTGATACCTCTTTTTATAAGTTTTCATAAGGTAGCTTTGATTGGGGTGGAACAGAAATTAAACTTAAAATTTGTGTCGATAGAGATATACTGTAATAGAGGTTTGCATACAGGAGCAGTATAACTAATACATAATAGAGGTATAACTCGACAACAAAAGAGCTCTTTGTTTTTGTTTTCTTCATTTATATTCTATTATCTTCCTTGTGTTTCCGTCATCTTCTGTTATCTTCAATACTATGTTCATTTATTGCATGTGTTCTTCACTGACCTTCTTGTGATATAAAAAATATCATTCATAAGATTCCTCTCATCTTTGAATTTAAAAATCGTAACTACAAAAAACCATTTCCCTATCACTATCAAACAAATCAAAGTAGTATGCTTTTCGGTTCCGTTTGGGCATACTTATATTTGGAGTGATTTATATATAGACATTCTCATCATATTTGTTGCAAGGTGGCTTAATTAAAGTTTCAGTTAACAAAATACTCAGTTGAAATAATTTGCCCCGTTATAATTCGAACCTACCAACTCCGAATTTAAAGTATAAAATTGTCTCTTTCTAGGAAACAATTTTGGTAATCCTTATCAGTGTCTTTGCGAAAAGTTTTCTATAAACATGGATATACTAGGTTCAAAAATCTCAAAAGAACATTATGTTAATTAGTGCTGGAAATTTTAAACACAAGTCTTTCTACAATCTTGTAATTTTATGTTTCTGAAATAATTCTGCCCCGTTGTTCTAGTGAATAGCTTTGCCTCGTAGTTCTAGTAAAGTCTAAGGATATAAAAATATCTTCTGTGTTAGTAAGATTTAATCTACTTTTTATCTTAAGAAGGGAAAAACTAGCTTTTTTATGACATGTTTTTGAGCTCGAATAATTTTAAGGATTCAGACCTTTCTTCATCCAGCTTATCTTTACTTTCAACAGTCAACAGCAGAAGGTTTATTTTTTCGTTCAAAACGCATTATTTATCCCCTTATTAAACCAATGTATATAAAGGGGAATTTGCTTTTAAAATAAAATTATTCTTTTGATTTTCTTCAATTGAAAGTTTTTAGCCGTGCGTGAGTATTATACTCATCATAAGTATTTAAGTTATTTACTGATAACTGATTATCCAGCGGATAATGGAATACCTACTGAATTATCAAGTCTAATTTAATTAGCTAAAATTATTATTTTTAATGTGGTGAAGATAAAATCCATGGACTTAAATTTATAAATACTAATTTTAATCAAAATACTCCTTTCCATTCATAATATATATATATATTCGAAATGTGATTTATTTCTTTCGCTTTGAATTTCTAACAAACTGATTAATTACTAAAGCTATCAAAATTTTAGTTAGTTGCATTACAGATCTTAAAAACTATAATTGCAAAGTTGATGCTTCTCGTACTGTGCATGAAAACATCACTTATTCAGAAAATAACATTAAAAACGCTGTTTGTAACATTATACGTAGTAGCCGAGTATTCACGAGGTAAAAAAATATAAATCCTTTAACACTCGGAATGAAGTTTTGTTCTCATTCTTTATCGCTATTAAAAATACATTATTATAATATAAAAATATCGTACATTATCCGCTCTAGCTCTCAAAATGCAAATTATACTTGTATGCATCATTTAAATTGATTTTGAAATCAGCTTCCTCTTTCCAGGCCTCACGCCAATGTATCCCTTATTTATTATTACCTAAAAATAATACTAATAATATGCAATTATAATAAATAAATGATGTAGTGGAATATTATATAATAATAATAAATATGTAATGGTAATTATAATAACAATTTAAGAAATTTAGCAGTAATTTATTATATTGAATTATTATTATTTGTTTCAATAAATCATTATTATTATTATTACATAATTTATAGAAATTAATGTCATATACATAACTAACTTATAACTTAACTGTCATATACTTAAGTATTAGCTACAATTTTTACATAATTATCAAACATTTTATCAAGCATATACAGTTGGGTAAAATCTAATTATTATTAAGCAATTCAACATTTTTATCTTTAATCTAATTAATATGTGGTGCTACAAAATGAGTTCAGCTTTCCATTATATTCAAGTTATAAAACTACCTATTGTCATGTACATTTTAATGCAGTTAGCTATTTTAATGTCTGAAATAGTTATTTATCAATATCAGGCTAATCAGTATTGATCCAAGTCGTAAAATCACAAGAATTCGTTTAGTTTATGCGTTTCGAAATTTTCATAAATGTTTTATGTTTAGTATAATGTTTGGATTTCAAAACAAGATTATTTTTATGGGTCTCAAGAACAGATCTGTTTATATATATATATATATATATATATACAGAGAATTGAGGTAATGTAGTGAAGCTTTTTGAACATTGTGTTTTCTGAAAGTGAAGCATTCTATGTAATTATGATTCATGCTCAGCCGTAGCTTATTTAACTTCTAATGAACTTATTATTGGTACTAAAAATAAGTGTTCTATTGATGAATTTCAACAATGCGGCGTAGTAAGAGTTAAACTGGTGTGAAGAGAACTGGTATACTTAGCTGCATACAGTATATATGATTGGCTAATGGAAATTATTATAATCTTTGGAATATTACTCGCTTAATTCGCCAACATTTTTAAAGAAACATTTCCAATTTTTCGGAGTCAAAGGACAAGAGATTTAAAACGGCATATTCAGATATTTGTTAACTAAAGCAATGTAGGTAGTTATTTTCCTTATGAAATACAAAGTATCTAAAAAACGAGTTCTAATAAACGCGTGCGACGAAAAGGAACACATTTTTAGTGAAAATAAAAAGGTAAAATTGTGTATTTTATAAAACTAATAAAATAATTCATGAGGTATATGCAAAATAATCCTATTTATAGTATTCCTGCAAAGTGTGTGATTGCTGCAAGGAGCAAACTGGTAAACCCAGCTTAAAATAATTTACTTCATCTATAAGCATCCAAAATAGTATGAAATACATCCAAAATAGTATGGAACAGCCTCTCTTAATTACCTACACTGAATTGTATCAAATTCTGTGCTTCTCTTTGCAATTTTATACGATTTTATATGTTTTTATCATATCATAAGTAATCGTAGTTCAATAGAGCTATCTTCAATAGAACTTGACTGGCTGATTACTAACAAACGCAAAGTTAGAAGAGATTCTCTGGACAGGTCGTTTCTCCATTAATATCTAATTAAAGCTGATTTATAGTCTTCATGAATTTACTCGCTTTGTGAATGAAATGGAATGGTTATTGAGTGATTAGATATGTAAAAAGAACACTAATAATATGCAGTTTTTGAATAATATAAAGCCAACGTTTGCAATATATTTACAGATCTGATTTATTAAAATTTCTGTATGAATCTGAAACAGAAAGGAAGCACTTCAGAGCTTTCATATACTCATTAACACTCTGCCCCACAAAAATCGTACAGCTTTATATCTCCCATTCTACTGAGTCTATTGATGAAATGTAACTTGCATCTTTCAAATCTCAAAACACTTAATTGATTTCGTCTTCCACATTTCGATATTTAAGTTAATTCCAAATGAAATTCGCGGACATTTTCTGATTTATTTTATATATTTTTTAGTAATTTTTTCAACTTTTAGAACTTTTGCAACAGTAATTCTTGATGCATTCCTTGAAAAGCCTGCAAAAATTTTGAGCTTTTCATTCAAAATCTTCCAAAATATACACAAATTTATGTATACGTGCATTTTGAAATTTGGTATATTTATTATAAGCGATAATAACGTGAAATGGGGTTTATACTTTTTTAATTATTGGAAAAAATGGACAATGTACCCTTTTTTCCGCTCGTGCACATCAAAAGGGAAAGGAGAATAGATTCTCGTAAATTAAGAATTTCGCCAAGTGGTGCAAACTCAAAAATGTGCGCCAAGATATTTTTTTTTAATTTCTTGGTAAGTTTCTGAACTGATTTTACAAAATTTAACATTTTCACATAATTTTAGTCGTAGACTCGAAATATGGAAACACACTCTGTGTCGTTTCAGATATTTGTTATAGGATTTCAGATATTTGCTATATTGGAAAAGGACGATTTTGTGTCAAAATACTTATGGTAGAATAATATTATATATAAATTTAATATATATCTCAAGTCATGCTTTCGAGACATAAAAACGCAAATTAAATTTCATCAATCGGCCCTCTAGAATGGGACATATAGAACTGTCTTTTTGTGTGTGCCGAGTGTACAAATGTAATTCTAATAAAATATTTTTGTTTTATTATAGAATAGACTGAACTTATATGTTCTCTCTATACATTATTTTTATCATATATTTTCAGCTACAACTCCATTCTGGTGCCTGCTAGATATTGTTCCAATTAAGAATGAGAAGCATGAAGTGGTTTTGTTCCTGGCGTCACATAAAGATATCACTAAAACTAAAACAGACGAGATGGAGATGGATGAGGATGGAGAAGAGAATCGTAAAATTTACTCTTTTTCTTCCTTCTTTTTGAAAACTTATGCAATGATGCCTTTATTTCTAAATTAATTAATCCCTTTATTTCAAAACTTGCGTTAATTATGATTTCATTTCTAATTTTCTGCCAACTAGAAATTCATGAATACATACATTTTACATCCCCTTCATTTCAATCGTGAATTTTAATGATGGCTCTAAGCGACATATTAATTCCTGTTATTCAAATATAACAACTAAGAAACCAAAGCTGAGACGTGGTTAACTCAAAGAAACTAGAAAAATTAAGAACGACGAGTATTAATAATAAAATTGGCTTATCAGTGGAGATTATTGGCTATTCATCAAATTCAGTGACAAGAAGAGCACACACACACATGCATAAAGTTATGAAACTTCCCATAGCTTTACACTCCTTGGTACTAATTGTTATGCAACTATGTCGCGATGCACATAGCGTTTTCGTAAATACAAATTATTTACACTTCTGGGATGGAGTTGAGTTACAGAGCTAAAACCTATTTAATTAACACTGTTTATGTACGCACTAGTGTACACTATTCGAATCACGAATGTCGCTGCCTACGCATCTAACTATCTAACAACGTATCTAAATGCCACATCTAAATTTCTGCAAGCGATGGTTCAGCTATAATTCTATGATCAAATACTCAATCTAGGCTTTAAAGGATTTATTAAAATACTAAAATTAATCTAATTTAGAATCTAGAATCGAATCTAATGTTACATCTCATGAGCAGCGTTTAAGCTGCGTCATAACAAATCGAAAGTCAAGTTCTCACTGTTGCCATTTCGAGGCAGAGAAAAGTTTGTTTCTAACCAAACCGGAACATCGGCATAGTGAAAGTTTCTGGTCAAACCGGAACATCCCGGCCCCCGTTGGACGATTGTCCAACATCATTTGGAAATGGGAGTGGACTGATATTGGAGACGGCTCGACGAAAGATTCCATCTGAAATTCTGACGTCTACGACTCGTACTAGTCCATTTGGACCAGGAAAGGTTTCCTCGATGCGAGCTAGTGTCCACTTCATGGGTGTCTTGTTTTTATCCTTTAACAAGACTAGTTGTCCTGCCTTGAGATTGGATCTCACTTGATTCCATTTTGAGCGGTTCTGCAAATGATTAAGATATTCCACGCTCCAACGGTTCCAGAAATTAGCTCTAAGTTTTTGAATTAAGGTCCATCTAGAAGACAAGGTCAAAGAATCTACAGAATCATTCGGTTCGGGTATCGACAAAAGTGGAGCTCCTATTAGGAAATGACCTGGAGTCAAAGGCTGAAGATCTGTTGGATCAGCCGAAATAGGTGATAGAGGTCGAGAGTTCAAGCAGGCTTCTATTTGTGTAATTAATGTATACAGCTCTTCAAAGTTTAAAATTGTCGTTTTCGCGATCTTTGTCAAAATTCTCTTCATTGATTTTATATTAGCCTCCCGTAACCCGCCAAAATGCGGGGAGGAAGGAGGAATAAATCTCCATGTTATACCTTCTTCGGAACTAAAGCGCTGAATAGGATCCGATCTACAAATTCTAAAGAGTGTATCAAGAGCATTCTTCGTTCCCTTGAAGTTCGTAGCGTTATCACTCCAAACAATGGATGGTTTAGATCGTCTGGCAATAAACCTTCTAAGACATGCTACAAATGCTTCAGTAGACAAATCCGATACTACTTCTAGATGAATAGCCTTTGTACTAAGGCAAATAAATATCGCTATGTATGATTTTAACGTAACTCTAGATCTTTTCAAATTAGGCTTGGTGATAACTGGACCTGCAAAGTCCTGTCCTATTTTTTCGAATGGTCTAGTTATTACAACTCTATCTCTAGGTAAGTCTCCCATCATTTGGTTTATGGTTTGGTTCCTTGTTCGAGAGCACGTCATGCATTTACTTATAACGCGTCTAACTCTATCTTGTCCGGAAGGTATCCAGTATAATTGTCTAATAAGAAAAAGTGTTGTTTGAACGCCCGAATGAAGAGATTTTTGTATTATCACAAAAATCTCTAGATTATTATCAATCTATGAGTAATTCAGTGAAATGATGTGTTTTGGGTAAAAGAAGTTGATGTTTCTGGTCTTCTGAAAGATTGGAGAAACGTAGTCTCCCACCAACTCGTAAAAGTTCATCTTCATCCAGAAATACATTTAAGGATAAAACCTTACTATTACTTGAAACTGATCGTTTCGACTGCAGGCACTTAATTTCAGCTTGAAATTCAGAATGTTATACACATTTGACTAGCACCTTTGTTGCATTCTGTAGTTCAGAAGCACTCACAAAAAAGTTCTTTTCTTAATAGTGGATTGGTTCTACAGTTGTTCGCAAACCTTAAACACCACGCAGTAGTTCTAATCAATTTGCTGAATGACGAATACCTTTTAATGAATTCGTTCTCTATGGAATTTTCACCTGTGACTGTTGAGTTCACTACAGCTCCCCTTCGAAGTTCAAGCTCTTCATGATCCTTGAAATCTCTTACTGATTCTGCAAGTTTAGGCCACAAATAGATGCTCTGTAATAGCCACTTAGGTCCATGCCACCACATGTCACTATTTCGTAGTTTAGATAACGTTATTACTTTCGTGGAATTTGTCTTTGTTCCTCTGGTCAGCATATCAGCCGGATTTTCATCTCCAGGGCAATAATTCCAGGACCCAGGTGATGTTTTCTCTCGTATTTCCATTACTCGATGTTGGATGAATGGCGTCCATTTATTTAAATCGCCCTTTATCCAATGTAACGTAACAGAAGAGTCTGACCAAAAATATACATTCATCTGGAGTCTTTTCTCTAAATGTTCTTTCACATTCGAGGCTAATCTTGCTCCGATGAGCGCCCCCATCAGCTCTAATCTTGGAAGGGACAGCTTCTTCAGTGGAGCTACTCTGGTTTTGGAAATGACAAAACTACTTCCTATTTCACTGTCCGTCGTGACGTATCGCAGGTATATCACAGCTCTATATGCCTTCTGACTTGCGTCGGTAAAGCAATGCATTTGAATATCTCTCAATTCAGACTTGTTAGTCTTTCAGAAGTAATGTCGCGGAATTTTTACATCCTGAATTGCTGACAGTTCATTAATCCATTTTTTCATTCTGTTTTCAAAGTCCAATGGTAACGGATCATCCCAGTCTACCCCAAATTGCCAAATTTCCTGCATTAGTATTTTTGATAGTGAATGGACTTATGAATCCAATGGGATCGTACAGCTTTCCAATGGTTTCAAGAACTTCTCTTTTTGTCATTAACTTTGTTTTCCCTTGATTAGTTAAATTTTGTGATTCTATCTTCAGAAGGTCTTCCTTGTAATTCCATTTATATCCCAATACCTTCTGTTCCAGAACTTTCTGCATTTCACCATTTTCGTATTCGTCAAAATCTTCCTGCAGATCCCACAATTTGTTTTCCATTTTCGCATGTTGAAACCAGCAGCCTTCAAAATATATCTAATATATTCATATATGAGTTTGGCTTCGTTTTCGTCTTCATCTCCACCTATTAAATCGTCTACGTATAAACATTCGTTCAATAGTTTAACTGCTTTCTGATTTGTTTCTTTAAAATTATTTATGTGATGTTTGATAGTAGCGGCAAGCAAAAATGGGCTGGATGTAGCTCCAAACAAAACGCGAGTCATCCTAAGTATTTTCGTGCTAGGTTTCCCATCTTTATCTGTAAGGTTATTTGCTCACAAAAATCTTACAGCATCCCTATCTTCAGGTGACAGAGAAATCTGAAGAAAGGCTTGTTCAATGTCGGCAGTAAATGCTAAGCTATGTGTACGAAATTGTATTAATATCTCTAACAATGGTGGATTTAAATTAGGACCGGAATAGAGACAATCGTTTAAAGAGTATTCATTTTTCGAATGGCTGGATGCATCAAATACAACTCTCACGGGTTTGTCAAGTCGGATAACTGGCTGGTGAGGCATGTAATAAATTCTTCCTGTTTCCTCAGAACTTAGATCAATTTCCTCAGCTATACCCATTTTTAAATGCTGTTCTATAACTGAGTCATACTGCTGATGAAGCAGTGGATCATTTCTTAACCTTTTAACCAGTTTATTAAAGCGAACTTCTGCATTTACGTAATTCGTTTTTAATTCAGACGAATGTTCATTCCAAGGGAGTTTAACCTCATATCGCTTTTCTTTAAATTTGATAGTTCTGTTAAAATTCTCTAAAATGTCATTATCTATTTTACTAATTTCCTTCCCTTGTTCAATTCCCAATGTTTCTAATTCCCAAAACTGCTTTAACTGTGTTGAGACCAATTTGTCGTCAACAATAATGTCCATGTTTAACAATTTACCGTTAGAATCAGTCCTGGCCTTGAAGGCACCATCCAAATATTTGTTTCGGAAGCTATAAGTTTATTTTTAAAACGTTTAAGTCTACCAGTTATTACTTCATGATAGTAATCTGCTCCGATCAAAACAGCAATATTTTTATCACTGAATTGACAAGAATCAGCTAATTGTAATCCTATTAACTCTTTGTTAATTTTGGAAACTGGGATATCAGGGAAAGGCAAATTAGTTGCACATATTTGGTTAGTTTCTAAAGCTTCAATTTCTATATTTAGGGATGGTTCACTTCTGTTTTCTAGTTTGACTTTAACAACATTGTAAGTTTGTTCTGTTGCCTGGTTAACCCCAAAGGCAAATACGGACAAAGTCTCCTTCCGAATAACAGGTAATTAACACTTCTCTGAAATGTCCCGAATTATAAAACTTCTCATCGATCCATTGTCTAATAGAATACGAACTGGTTCTAAATTATCCTTCTCAGAAAATGGACGTATCATCACAGTACACGTTTGTAGCAATGCACTGCGCGAAAGTTTAGGTTTTTAATTGACTAATCTGAACATCTTCTTTACCGGATGGAATTGTCGACACGACCTAGTTTTTCTCCGATTTGGTTTACAGTTGGAAACAAATAGACCTATTGTGTTTTTTATTACATATTTCGC